TGCCCCACAGGGCTCAGCTGGGAGTAGCTGCAACTGGAGATTGTTTCACACCTCCCTGAAAGCAGTGCTGCCCCCCTGTATGGGGGGATTTGCCTGCTGGATGCGACACCTGCTCTTGCAATGCTTCTGCTGACAAAGCCACACCTGGGGGTAGTAACCGTGTCTTGGTCTGAGCCTGCACAGACTGGCCTAGGACAGACTCCTCTAAGCATCCTTGTCCAGGGTGCACAGGCTGATGGGCCTCTAGCGCAGAGACTATACACATATAAAATATCGTTTCAGCTCCTTAAGGTCCACCAGGACTTAGATGCTTGAGTCAATGCACTCTGCTTTCCTCAGATGGCTTTCCCCACTCTTCCCCCAAGGAGATGTACTGGGCTGTGAGAAGAGCTGCGCCGGTGGAGCAATCATCCACATCTCTCTCTTGATGACCTTGATTTTGCATGACAAGCTGCATACTTTAATATTAATTAAAGAAAAAAACTTTCCATCCTTTCTAAAAGGCCATTATTTTAATTTTGACAGATAATTACAGGAGAAGAAGTGATAAATCTTCCTGAACACTGTTTGTCTTTAGCAGAGGTGTTAATTATGGATGCTTTAAAGCTATGGTTGGATATAGCTGAAGACATATCAGTGGGTGAAGAAGTGCTCAGGACCACCCTGAGCATGACTTCCAGGTGGGCAGCTCCATCATCGGGTTTCTTTCTGCACCACTTCTGAAGCTCCATAACATGAGCAAAGGATTGAAACAGCTAAATAAAAATCACTAGAGAAACCCGTAATGGCATGACACACTTGGCCTCTGGAACTCATTGCCATCATATATCATCTGGCAGCATTTAAAAAGGGATCACCATTTTTAGGCAGATAAAAAGAAAATCCAGAGTTATAACAAAGGGGAAAGAAAAGAAAAAAAAAATCTGTGAACTGTGGAATTAAGAGAGTCTGATTTCTCATGTACTGCTGTGCTCAATGCCTTAAATCTGCACCCCACAGTAACACCAGCTCCTCCCTATGTCCTGTAGAAGAGGCCAACACCTTGCTCCTTGGCCGACTGGCTGCTTCCAAACTCCCCATCTAACGGCCAGGTTCTGCCCATTTTCCTCTTGGGCAAGGCCTTAATTTGGTTTGCTCTTCTCTGTTCAACCAAGAATCACCACAAAAGCTGTAGGACCTCCACCAGCCCTCAGACTGCTCTGCAGTTTGATGGAGTTCAGTGACAAGAGGTCCCAGGTCACACCGTGGTGGGGGCACTTTGTTGGTGTGTGTGGGGAGAGGTTTTCATCGCTCCCTCTGCCTGGATGCTCTCAGTCCATTGCTCACGAAGACCCCAGACACAAAACCAGGGAATATGGCTGTGCTGCTCCTGATAAAATTGTTCGACTTCAGAGAAAATAATAAATCCTGGAGCCAGAAAGCAAGAAACATGCTTGAATCCTCAACCTAGGTATCCCATGTGTAGTGGGCAGCTCAGGCATCCCCTTGCCCCCCCCACTGAACATCAACCAGCAGAGATGAGACACTGCTGTCCTCATGACCCCATGTCCTGAGGCTTGCCAAAATGCTGGCACACCAGCAAGGAAAGTGTTTTTTAAGATGCCGTGGCTGAGTTATTAATTGCTTATCACATCACCCGCTGCTCTAAAGGGTGATTCATTTTGGTATGAGATAAACCCAAGCCACCAAAGCACCGGAGCCAGCCAGGGAAGTGCTTTCACTCAGAGCTAGCATGGGAACAACAGCTTCCATAAGCCTGGATTGCCTTGTTCCTGGTCATGAGCCAAACCAGCTGCTAACACGCAGGTAGCATGCAGAGGAGTCCAATTAAGCAGTCGTTAGCCTTTTCTGACATACCAAAGCTATTTGCATCCCTCAGCCCAGGAGCTGTGCAAGCAGCTGCTGCAGTGCAGGTGGACAGGACTCAGCTCCAGCAAACCCAGGTGGCTCAGAAAGCACCCCCCTGTCCCACAGTCCCCTCCTTATAAAAACAAACAAAAAACAACAGAAAAAAAAAAAAAGTTAAATTGGTGAAGATTAGATTCCCTCTCTTTGATTTCTACATCAGCTTTGCAGTTGTCACACTGCAGAGAATGGGCTCATCCCCTCTGCACATTGCTCCTTGTCCCCAAGCATCCCTGCACATGGACACTTGGGAGGAAGGTCCACGTTCACTCCTGCTCCATGGGGAGAGCCCATCCTGCACCTACATCCAGGAGGAGGATCGGCGGGGTGAACCAGCAGCAGCAGCACCAGGCACGGTGACAGCAGGACACAGGGGACGACCTCCCAGACAAAGGTCCAGCCAAGCAGTTGCCAGTGAGATGGTGGCATCCCATCTTGCTCTTGCTCCTGACCTTTCAGCTTTCCCTGACTTTCCGCCTGGCTCTGAGCAAGCCAAGGAACTCAGTGCATCTGGAAGAGTCATTATCCGGGTAATTTGCACACCCTGGACTTGGAACTGTCATTAATAGGGCTATTTGCAAAAAACAGCAGTAAGTCAGTTAGAGTTGTTAGGACGTCCAACCAGTACCAGTCGGACAGGCAGGTCAGACCCCGCTGCTGGCTGCCTCCTGCTTTTTCCATTCTGCCCATCAAGTCCAGACTCTACAGAAGGATTTATGTTGTTCCTAGCTGCTGAAGCTGGAAACTGCTCCAGTAATTAGTCAGTATTAGACCAAAGCATGTGGCAGAGTTCTGGGTGCTGCAAGGGGGTGTTGGCATTGGGATAAAGACCCAGCAGCATCCCATTCCCATCGACTGATGGAGAAGGTCTCGGCTGGAGGGATCTGCTGGACTGCACATAGACAGGAGCCTGCCAGAGCTCATCTATGCCAGCATTTGCCCCAGCTGCATGTTAAGGGGGGGGTTGTCTCATCCTGGGAAAAGCTGGCATTAGGAACCATCTTTTGCAGGCTGACCACACATTTGGGTGCAGATCCAGGCAAATCCAGGCTGGTACAATGGTAACGTGACACAATAACAGGGTGATTGCACCCCCTTGGAGGCCCTGAGCTGTGATCTCATACCTGCTGAAGACTCACCCTAGTATCACATTACCACAGAGGGTTCCCCCCCACACCTTGGTTTTGAGCACCAAATCCTCACTTTTACTAGAAAGCCAAGCTCCCAGCCACTCCAAACACAGGCTGTTGCCTCCAGCCCTGAGCCAGCTTCCCTGCCCCTCCAGCAGCTCTACAGCATCAGGTTTCTGTGCTTTCTTTGCCAGAGGGCAGGTACAGCATTAAGACATCATAGCAAGCCCCAGCAGGCTGGGCTGGAGCCAGGCTCCTGCATCAAATGCTGGCCCTGTCAATAAATAACCTACAAAGCACCAAGGGCTCTATAGCCCAGCTGTCAGGCACACACATCTGTTTTGCATTCACCCAAAGGAAAGAACATCAAAAATCCACTGTAAACGGCCGTGCAGCCTTTATACATGCCCAGGAGGAGCCCACCCTGGATACTCGGAGATGTGCCTCAGGGAGGCGTCACTGTCCTTGGGATTATTAACACAGCAAGGGATGCGCTGCCAAAGGCAGCGTCCCTGGATGCTTGTACTGAGCCATAATCGTACTGGAGTCACTTTGTTGTTCTTTGAACAGCCTTGGACAGAAGCAAGGGATAAATCCAAATTATTAAACCCCTTAATCACTTCTTGTCACCAAGCACAGGGAGAAATGACAAGGCGGTAAGTGGCAGGGACTGCTGAGAGACCCAAGACAGGGTGAAGACGGGCAGCCAGGGAAGGTCCCCAGAAGACCTGGCCACTTGGCCACCACCTAGGCAACCACACCAGGTCTGCGGGACTTCCAGAGGCTTCTCGGTCCCCACCTCACTTAAATTTTTTTGTCCCAGTGCCCACCTCCACTGCAAGCATCAGGGGGACAGCAGCACTGCTCTCCTGTGCAGGGCCGTTATCGGGATGAGAGCGCTGAAGACTGCACGACAGTGAGATATTACTATGGTAACGGGACTACCACATACCTGAGACAGACTGGGAGGATAAGGCCTCCATAAAAAGAGCAGAGAGGTGCAGAAAAATGGGAGACTTGCTCTAACTCCCGCCTGATGGGAGCAAGCACCGCCCTGTCACCCGGCCTGAATATAGGATAAAATGGATGGCAAAACCCTGCTCAGGAAGGAAAGACAGACACAGGACAGCCAGCAACACCCTACGGGGTGGGAAACTAGCAGAGAAGCCGACAAGCTGGTCAGCACTTAAGGAGAATGTGTCCCCAGGCTCATCTGCTGCAGAGCATATTAAACCAACCAGGGGACCAGCACCAAGGAGGGAAGAAGAATCAGACAAAGGATGTGGTGAGAGAAATGTGGTTTGAGACCCACGGGTACCCTGGAGGCTCTGGGGAAGGTACAGCTTGTCCCTTGCATGGGGACACCTGCAGACACATCCTGTGGCTTTGAAGGCTTTGATTTCCCATGTAACCCTTCGTTCCTCCGGCCACAGGTTCACATGAGCATCTGATGTTCAGTCATTGGGACCAACCCTCTTGGCAGCTAAGGCCACTCCATCTCCTCCAGTTCCCCAATAATTCACATGGGAATGAAACATCTCTCCAAAAACCTTCAAGTCTCTGCAGGAAAACCCGCCCTAAGAGCTTTGCTCGCATGGTTAATCTCCCTGCCTGCTTGAAGCACAAGCCTTGTTTCTCATCCAGTTTCCTCCTGTGTCTTTTTCCACTGGACACTGGCTGCTCTAGAGATGCTCACACTGGAATAAAGTCACCTCACAACCATCTTTCTGAGGAGCTGAATAGCACAAACTCTCTCCTTCCCCCCCCCCCCCCCCATCAGACATTTTCTCCTGTTCATCCTTCACTGGAGGAGCAACATAAAAGAATCTATCCTATATTCCCCTTCCAACGTGAGATGCTTAATAAGTTGGTTTTATTCTCCTCACCTGCACAAAATTGCTCACACAGGTGCTTCAGGGTTTGCAGAGAGGGCATTTTTATCGTTTAGTCATCAAAGGTTTTCAAATCCCTTAATTATATGCAATTCATAGTGGTTTGAAGAAGCAGAACAGCATCAGCAGCTTCTGTAACAATCAACACAAAAGCATCTTCCAAGTGTCTCTTTTATGTGGTTTTGCCCATAATCATGGTAGAGAGATAAAGTTCTGTAATTTATTTCCACTAATATAGTCAGGCAGCAATTGATGTTTTTATGAGGGTGAATATGTCTGTGGGATGTACTAATGTTTATAGGCTGGTAAATTTGATTTATATAGAATAGTCAGTGCCGCTATTGGTAAAGACCTAGTGTTTCCAGGAGAGCTAATATGATTTGCATTGATTAGATTAATATCAATTAAGCGTTCTTCGGTTTGCAGAGCACAGATGCGTGATTTCCACCTGCTCCAGTCCCAGCAGACGAAGGTGCTCTTTGGTTTTGCAAGCACAGAGCAGGTGTTAGAGTTGAGCAAGAGCGAAGCAGAAGGGATATTGTTGCTCTTGCTTCGCTGGGTGTCCCAGGAAGCGATGATGTCCGAGGCCCAGAAATACAGCTCTGCTCACACAGGGTGAAGTGCTGGCTCCTAAAATGATGCAGTTTAATGGTAAGGGTGCAACACGGGCATGCATGTCAGGGTGCAAGACAGGGGCATCCTTCAGATGTGTCTGCTCACCCCCCCCCGTGCGCAGCCAGGGAAGGTGCAGAAGGGTCTTTACGGCTGCAGCAGCTCCATTTGCATATATAAACCATCCCATCGTGGTGGTGTTTCAGTGCCCTCTTGTGCCCAAGGACGAAGTGTTTATGGAGGGGCTGATGCTGATGCCAAGTCCCTCCAGTGGCAACGGGTGGTTTTGGGAAGAGGGGAGAGGAGGTTTTCCACTGGGATCAGCACCTCCAGCATGCTCCTGACCTAATGCTATCCCATGAAGGGATTAAAAAAAAAAAAAAAAAAAAAAAAAAGGAAAGAAAGAAAAAGAGAGAGATTTAATCTGTTTAAATACCAGCTGCCTAGGAAGGTGGGGGTAGCTTGGGGTCACTGCCTATGCAGATGGAGCACTGTGGGGCAGCCCATCACTGCTGGAGAGGCGTAGGGGGAAGCGATGGGGCTGGAAATAATGCTGGGGCTCTGCTGGGGGACCTGTCTCACCTGCCAGCAGGGGTGCAGCTTCCCAGCTCTGGGTATATGAAATTTTCAGCATTAACAAGTGGTTTTAAGCTGATACTCTCAAAGCTTCTTGGCTGAGATGTGCTGCAAAACAAGGGATTTGTGCCAGCTCCATCCCACAGTGGCTGAGCTGCCTGACGAGCCCAGCCTTTGCCACCCAATGCACGGGGACAGAGGAGACCAAGAGCAACTGTCCCCAGCCTCCAGGCAGTGTGACCCATCCCAAGCCCATCTCAAAACCCTTTAGCAGGGATGGAGTTTGATAGGCTCCAGAGTCAGCCTGAAAGCTAACATCCACTGAACAACGACTGTGCAGTAACATGACAAATTAAATCTCATTACAGCTTGGAGAAGGTTAAACTGGAGTCATCTTCCCATCATCAGTTTAAACCCTTCCTGACAGGGAAGCCTTCCCTGCACGGGTAAATAATTTAAAACCTGGTTCTCTGGTTGATAATTCAAATCCTGGTCATGTGTGTTGTGGGCAGGGCTGTCTCTGGGCTGGACCCAGATGGAGCCAGGGATGGATTAGGGCAGGTATGTGCTTACAGGCACTCATGGCTAGATGGAGGTTTTGCAGCAGCCAGCTCGAGAATCACCTAAAAAGAAAGGTTTCCTTCCAAAATGAGAAGCACACTTGCTTGAGTGGGGGGGGGGTGACCCCTGAGCCTGCTTGCCACAGCACCTGCGTGGCTAGGAGACTTCTAGCAGCAGCCAGCTCAGGCTGTGGAGCCCTGAGATGTGGAGGGGCACCACAAAGCCCATGGCCCTACAGCCAGGAGGGGAAATCATCCCTAACAAACAAATGGCAGGGCTCAGAACAGAGCAGAGCAGGCTTGTACCCAGCCACCTGCAAAATGCACGTGGCTGGAGGCTGAGGATGCAGCCCCGCAGGGTCTTACCTGGCGATGGCGTGGTCCCATGCAGTGGCGGGAGAGGGCTGTGGCCCCTCTCTTTGGCTTCTTCTTGCACATATGGTGATGTGGTGGAAGATGTGGGATCCAACCCAATTGTGGTTTCTGTCATTTTTTTGACAGACGCAACCTGTATGCCACCCAAACAGCAAAGATCTTCCCAGAGGTTCATGCAAAACTTTCTGCTCCCTCTACAAATATCCTCGCAGGCTGGGAAATGCTGCAGCCCCATCTCGAACGCTGCCATGTTTTGGGAGCTGGGGAACCTCTGGAGGATGAGAAAAACAATGCTGAAAGATAAGAAAAAAAGCCCTTAGCTGGAAACCTTTTCCAGCTCTCTCAAGCCTGACTCCAACATGCTCTGCACTAATCAGCTTGGAAGGATGATTTAGTTGTTGTCATTCTTCCTCCATCCACATCTCCCTCTTCTGCTTCAGTTCCCGGAGCTATCAGTGAAAAAGCAGTGAGCTCCCTGCTCCTCAGCTCAGGCTGGAAGTCATCAGCTCAGGTCTGGATCAGATGAAGCAGAGGATTGCTAATACTGGGAGAAAGCAAAAGGTATGAAAACTATGTCTGCAGCCCTGAGAGAAGGGTTTGCCACTCTGTCCTAGCAAGGGGACCCTTCTCAGCACAGTCAGCCCTTTAGCTGGCTGAGCTGTTCCAGCTCTTCTCTGTGGCAAGAGAAGGGAGGTTGAGTGGTGACACCCAGCTTAGGACTTCAGAAATCACCGGTACCAGGGAGAGATGAGAGCCTCAGGCTCCCAGCTGGGAGACCTACACCTGCAGGAGGTGTCCAAGAAGAAGGTCTAATGTGGTCTTCACCAAGTGTCCTAAAGGTAGGACCTCCTCGTGAGCTGGGAAGGGGCTATTTCTTGTGTTAGAGAATAGGTGCTCAAATATCAGAGTGGGCTGAACTAAAAAATAAACAAACAAACAAATAAATAAATAAATGACCTGCTGGGCTTGGAAGGCTCCTTTTCCTCCTGGCCAAGCAAAGGCAGGTTCTCCATTTGCTGGAGACATCAGCCTGGGGACGTCAGCCTGCACAGCCTTGCTGCTTTGTCCAGAGCTCGTGTTCGTGTCCTGCTTGGGGGATACCCACACAAAGGGCCCTTTGTCGTCAGTCCAGAGTGGGTCTATGGCTTGTAACAGACAAACTGCTTCAGTCCTCCAAGAAATAAAATTGGTAGAATTTGCAAAATCTGGATATTTTTAGAGACTTGTGCAGTCATCTTGGCCTTTCTTTGACATGACCAAGGCTGCTCACTAAACGATATTTCTCCCTGCTGCCTTCCTCCGCCACCCCTGCCTGTCTTTCCATCTCCCAAGAGTGTGGCAGTGATAAGCTAAATATCTCACTTCCATCCTCAAAGGCACAAATTGGCCACTGGCATGGATTTGCAATTTATATGTTAATCATATCTGCCTCAAGGGACTGTGCTGACCTCCAGAAAGGGAGGTTTAATTGAAAGATATGCAAAGGATGCTCCCGACTTTTCATCCAGAGAGGAAGTTCCCCGTAGTCTGTGCTAACAGGCAGCCCATCCAGAGCAGCACCGAGCCTCGTCTGTGCTGATGAACAGGGCCTCACTAATTAGGCATCAGCTTGTGCCACAGGATAGGAAAAGAAGCTGGGATAATTACATTTGCTCCTAGTCAGCAAGGAGAAAGTCTTTTAATCAGCATCCTCTGCGCTTTGACCCTGTGCTAATGATCTGGCACCTGGTGGGATAGTGGAAAAGTTCAAAATTTGAAGAGGAACTCCAGCAAAGTAAGCGCTGGGGCTTCCACACCTCAGAAAATGTCACAGGGGGAAATCAAACTAGTGTCAGAGTAATGAGAGGAGGTGGTGTGGGGCTGGGAGGGTACCAGAGTTTGCCCAAAGCCCAGTGGGCTCCTTGTCAGTTCTCTGAGCAGAGCTTGCTGCAAGCACCCCGTGTCCCATCAGCTCCCTTGGCACTTCTAGCACTAAGGGGAAAAGGAAAGCAGGATTTTCCCTCTGGAGATGAATTGAAGCAGGGAAGTAGCAATCAAGCTGCAGGATCTCTCAAGCAATAAAATGATTGCAAAGTGCACCCACCATGGGCCTGGAAACCCCCAGGAGATGTACCCATGCAGCCTGGCTCTGCTTAGCAAGGCCATGATGTATCAGCAGCCTCTGTCCCATATAGGGGGCACCAGACCGGCTGGGATGGAGCATTTACCACTGCAACCGTGTGGAAAAGGTGGGAGAAAAAGGGAAAAGGAGCAACTTGCAGAAGGTCATTCAGCTGTCAGTGCTCAGCTCCAAGCCCTGGGGATTTCTGTGTGCTCACGGTAAAACAACAGAAACAAAAAAATGCACTGGAAAAGCAATAAAGTTGTAATCCTCCCAATCCTCGCCTTCTTTCCCCGCAAGCCCGTAGTTTGTACAAGGGCCCTGCAGCATCACGGCAGAACACCTTGTACCTACTGACTGCATTGCAGAGCGTACATGCAGACAAATTAAATTGCTGTTGTGCTGCCATTTCTTCATTGTAAGCTTTTTGCTTATCTACCTTATTTCCCCAAGTTTATGTGGTTTTAGTGGCATCTCTTACATTTCAGCAAAGACAACAAAATAAAAAAAAAAAGACAAAAAAAAAAAAAAAAAGACAACAAAAAAATAAGTGATATTTCTGTCTCAGGTTTCTTTCCTACCAATGAGCAGGAAAAGCAGCTCTGAGCCCAGGAGCATGGCATTCCTACGAGAAAGGAAACTGGTGCCCAGTGTGGCCCATTGTGAAACAGGGTAGGAAAATCAAAACCCAGCATTGCTGCCATCCCATTGAGCTAAGAAGCCACCAGAAATGAGACCGTGACAAAGTCCCACTGAGGTCAAGCCCTGTAGAAGAGGGAAAGGGCTGAAAGGATCCTCTGCTGACTTATTTGTATGGAGTGTGCTGGCAGGAAGCTCTTCACTGATAGCAGAGATATAAAGAGGCTTTGCTGTCACCTTCAGATGGATTTTGCCCATGCCACAGTGCCTGGACACTGCTGAAGGTGCTGGAAAGGAACCTCAGTATCATTCTTGCTGCTCCCAGTGCCTTCACCAAATGGACTGTGTGCAGTTCTGGGCACCACAGTACAAAATGGATGTAAAACTGTTGGAGAGTGTCCAGAGGAGAGCGACGAAGATGGTGAAGGGCCTAGAGGGGAAGATGTATGAGGAGCAGCTGAGGTCACTTGGCCTGTGCAGCTTGGAAAAGAGGAGGCTGAGGGGAGACCTCATCGCAGCCTACAGCTTCCTCGAGAGGGGGAGTGGAGGAGCAGGCACCGACCTATTCTCCTTAATCACCAGTGATAGGACCCGCGGGAACAGTGTTACGCTGAGGCAGGGGAACTTTAGGCTGGCCATCAGGAAGAGGTTCTTCACTGAGAGGGTGGTTGCACACTGGAACAGGCTCCCCAGGGACGTAGTCACTTCACCAAGCCTGTCTGAATTTAAGAAGCGATTGGGCTGTGCACTTAGTCACATGGTCTAAATTTTTGGATAGACCTGTGCGGTGCCAGGAGTTGGACTTGATGATCCTTATGGGTCCCTTCCAACTCGGCATATTCTATGATTCTATGACCGTAACTACATGGCACCTGAATTGCCCTGAAATCCTGAAAAACCTGCCCAAAGGCTGGTGGCAGACTCAGTGGGATGGCAGACAGCGACCCAATCTGCACTGAGGTTACGAAGCTGGCCCAGAGGGGGTGTCATGGGGGGAGAACTCCCAGGCAGGGAGCACAGTCCCTGAGCATGGCTTGGCTCCACGTGTCACCGCTGATAAACACGGGGTTCGTTTCAGAGAGCTAATGCGGTTTGTGTCGATTGGTATTTCAGCCTTTCATGGGATTTCATTAAGGGTTATTAGCGGCTCTATAATTGCCACTGGAGCAGGGCTTCGTGTTCTGCTTAATTAAGTGTCAGCCCTTCCAAAGGGAAGACACAGATTTTAATAATGGTGCATGTGGTGGAAGCACGCAGGCAGGGAGGCAGAGCGAGACCCAGGCAAGGACAGCCCCAAGCAGGGAGCACAAAGTGCCCCCAAACCTCCTTTCATCCCCATTTCTTCCAGATGTCGGGGTCTACCGCAAGGACGAACTCAAATAGCAGTGATGCAGGAGATGTAATTTAACAGGCAGACTCACTTTTTTAGTGCTTTGCTCCATCTAGTGATCATGAAGCAAAGCTCAAAGGGGACACCCTGCTCGTGGGGCCTGATTTCTGGGTAAGCAGACCCACAGCAGGGCACTTGGCAGCATTTCCACATCTCCCCATATGAGCCCCTCCGGGGACTCCTCACGGCACAGCCACAAAGCAGCTCAGGGTCAGCCCTGACCCCACAAGCTGCAGGGTAGCGACAAGCAGCAGCCTCGCAGCATGGGATGGAAAAGAGAAAAAAGAGACAACAATGAACACCCCCACGTGAACACTGGGATTTTTTGGCCACCCTGTGCTGAGCAGCAAGGCCCATCACAGCATGCTGGAGCTGCCAGAAGGCCCCGTCCCCCTCAGGGTGCCCATTTTCACTTGCAGTTCCAGCTGAAAGGTCTGTTAAACATCCACTTTATTACTCCTAATCCAGTGCTAGAAGATAAAAAGCCTTTTGCATCCCATCTGTGGGATGTCCTGGCCGCTGCTTTCCCCACCACACCCCGTGTGGGCAAAAAGGGGTGCGTCTGGAGGGCCAGGAGGGATGGTGACCAGGGGACAGGCTACCCCCGGGGACAGAAAGGAGGGAAAGGAAGGGGAAAAAAGGAGAAAAGGAGAAGGGAGCAAGCCTCGGCGGACACCTGAGCAGGTATGGGGAAGCCCCCGGGGCCGGGACAGGGAGACGCAGACGGAGGCAGACCTAGGGCTGCTCCGCACCGTGCGGTGCACACTGGCTCAGATGGGGGCTGAGGGGAACGGGGGCCGCGGCCAAATACTTGGCACACAGCAGGCCCAGTGGGGCCGCTCGCACGTGTGCTGGCACCGGCGGCTGCAGGGGCTGGAGCACCGCAGGCCCCGGTGCTGCAGGTCCTTGTGCGGCACAGCCCTCGCCCACATGGCTGTGCCTGGGGTCGCCCAGCGCCCACTGCCACACGCAGCCTTTGCCACTGACACAACACATGTACACACTGACACATTCACACAACGCACCTACACACACTCACACACACACACACTCACAAGGTGAGTGTGTGTGTGTGTAGGTCAAGGGAGGTGATTGTCCCGCTCTACTCTGCGCTGGTGTGGCCTCACCTCGAGTACTGTGTGCAGTTCTGGGCACCACAGTACAAAAAGGACATGAAACTGTTGGAGAGTGTCCAGAGGAGGGCTACGAAGATGGTGAAAGGCCTGGAGGGGAAGACGTACGAGGAACGGCTGAGGGCACTGGGCCTGTTCAGCCTGGAGAAGAGGAGGCTGAGGGGAGACCTCATCGCAGTCTACAACTTCCTCGTAAGGGGGTGTCGAGAGGCAGGAGACCTTTTCTCCATTAACACCAGCGACAGGACCCGCGGGAACGGGGTTAAGCTGAGGCAGGGGAAAGTTTAGGCTTGACATCAGGAGGGGGTTCTTCACAGAGAGGGTGGTTGCACACTGGAACAGGCTCCCCAGGGAAGTGGTCACTGCACCGAGCCTGACTGAATTTAAGAAGAGATTGGACTGTGCGCTTAGTCACATGGTCTGAACTTGGGTAGACCTGTGCGGTGTCAAGAGTTGGATGATCCTTAAGGGTCCCTTCCAACACAGGATATTCTATGATTCTATGATTCTACACATTCACAGTCACACCCACACACACACACACACTCACTCTCTCACTCACACACCCACACTCACTCCCCCTCCCCCTCCCCCTCCCGTTGCCCGCCCTTTGGGCTCAGCGCTCAGCCCTGGGGGGCGGGGCCATGAGCGGGGCGGGGCCATGAGCGGGGCGGGGCTCTCTGTGGGGGCGGAGCCTGCTCGGGGGGCGGAGCCTGCGGGTGCCGCGCGCTGCCTGCAGCCCGGCCGCCGCCGCCGCCGCCGCTTCCGATCGCAGCGCGGGCGGGGCCGCTCCCCCCCCCGCTCCCCCCCCCGCTCCCCCCCCGCTCCCCTCAGGCCCCGCCATGGCCGCCCGCGGCGCCTTCCCGCTCAGCCCCCTGCCGCCCGCCGCCCCCGCCGCTCCGCCGCCCCCCGGGCCCGGGCCCGGCATCCTGAGAGGCCCCAGCCCGGCTCCGGCAACCGCTGCGGCTCCGGGATACCGGCCCATGGGGCCCGCGGCCGCGCAGTACCAGGTGGGGGCGACCGGAGGGGGGCGGGGGGGTCCTGAGGGGGTCCTGAGGGGGGCCGGGGGACGGGCGGGAGGGGCCGGGGGGGCCCTGAGGGGGCTCGGGGAGCTCTGAGGGTGTTGGGGCCGGGGGGGGGCTGTGGGGCTCGGAGGCCTCGTGAGCTGTGGCTGGGCCGGGGGGGGGCCGGTCCTGGAGCTCCGTCCCCCCGTGTGCCCCTCCCGGCACCCGGCCCGGACCCGGCCTGAGCCCCCCAGCACAGCCCCCCCGGGCTTGGCTCAGGGCAGGTGCCCCCACGCCCCCCCCCCCCCGGGCCCGAAAAAGCCCAAGGCGCTGCGGGGTGGCCGCGGGTTTACCAGGCCTGGCTCCTCAGCAGCGCCCGCACTGTGCCGTGAGCGCTTGGCAATTCCCAACAAAGTTGTGGGAGGTGAAGCCAGCGGCCCTGCGGCAGCGTGTGGGGACGGGGGGGCCCCATCCTGCACCCTCGGGGGCCGCTGGCGATGGGAGAAGCCCCCCGGGAGGCGCGAGCTGCAGGAGCCGTGCTGCACTCCGGCTGCTTGGCCGTGCCCCCGCTGCACGTTTCGTGCCCGGGAAGCCGTTCGCCTGCGTCTGTTGCAAACGTAGAGGCGACCGTTGCAAACGTGAGATGGGTGATTTCAGGAAGAAGCTGGAGAGGTGCTGATGCAGGTGCTGGCAAATAATAGGGGAAAAAATGGGGACAGGCAAGGGCTGGGAAAGGAAATCCGATCGGCAGTCCTGGAGAAGCCACAGAAACTGCTCTTCCTTCTGCCTGCAAGTGTTTTGTAAGAGAGAGATTTTGTCTGACGCTCGTTTTCAGCCTCCCCCTGCGTGCGCAGCTTGCCTGTTGGTTCGCTCATGCACGCGGGGCGATTATTTTGGTTGTGGTGCACAGCAGAGTCTTGCAGACGGGCTGGAAATGGAGGAGCCCAGTTGTGCAACGTGTTCTCAACCACTGCCGATTGCCTCCTCCAGCGCTGCCGCGTTGTTTGCACGCATTAAAACTTAAGAAATCGATGAAGCCAAGGGAATTTCCAACTTGTAAACCTTGCTAACAGAAAATGAGGAAACAACCCGGGAAGCCGAAAAGTGAAAACTGAGATGGCGCAGCCAAGACCAATCCAGGCGTGCATCGGCTGTAACTCGACTCAAAGGCTCGAGGGCCAGGCAAGATCCCGAGGGTTTGCCTTGCAGCAGGGTGCAAAATCCTGCCGGGCATCGCTTGCCACTCCACTGCGGGTAAACGGGAGAACATATGCTTGTTTTCCCCCTGTGCCAGCCAAAATGCTGTGCTCAGAGCAGGTGCTGGAAGCGTGTGGATGGGGTAGGGTGGGACTGAGCATATGGCGCTGCGCTGCTGCCTTCGGGAAATCCACATCGCACAGGGCGGCAGCGAGCAGCGTGGGCTGTGCCTGGCCGTGGGCTGTGTCTGGCTGGCTGCTTGCTGGCGGTTGCCTTGCAGCGGGAGGGGACAGCGGGTCTAATCAATACGGTCTGGCCTTTGTTTTGCAATTTCCAGGCGGTGGAAAGCAGCTCCTCCCTGCTGAGCGGTCAGCCCTGCCATACCCGCGGGACCTCTACGGGGGTAGCGAGTGACTCAGGCCCCTTCTGCTCTGTTATGCCCTGGTGTGACAAAGAACTTTGTCCATTATTCGGCCTCTAGAAAACACAGCAGCCCTCATGTATGTCAGTGAGTGCTTAGGGGCTTCTTAATCAGTGGATTATTAAACATACGCTAATCCTCTGACATCCTGGCACGTCTGGTTATTCGCTAGCAGCTCAAGGAGGGAATTCAAGAGGACAACTCCCTCTGGCACCAGTGGGAGCTGATGTTTCCAGAGCAGAAAGGAGAGGGATTTTCAGGAGCGTGCTCAGGGAACGGGTGATGGGCTGCTTGGTGGCAGCTGCCCGCATTCCGACACACAGGTTTGTGTAAATTCAACAGGAGTTACTTGTGTTCATTGTGGTGCAAGTTTCAGGCTCGGGAGATTTCTCCCAAGATATGAGATTGACGCTGTGGTAGGGAGCAGGCTTGGCTCTGTGACACAGCTCTTCTTTAACACGGGTCGTGCAGTGGGGAAAGGGTTGTGCAAAATGGTGCTCTGGCCTTGAATGCATGTGCTTTTGCTTTACTGGCACAAATCAGTGGCAAAAAGCAGAGTTAGTGAAGTGCCATGTTAAAAGGGTTTCATTGGCACTTGCTGACAAGAAGGAATCCCATTTCCATGGGACGGAAAGGCTGTTGCAATCCAAACAACTGCTAACGAATTGATTTCGGAGGAGCCAGGAGGCTCACCTGCTTTGATTCCTCGTGGAGTGGGGCTCTGGATGGCCAGGGCAGGGCTTGGGGCTTGCGGTCTGCAGATCCACTGGATCCACGCTGTGGAGGAGGAAAGTGGGCTTCCAGCTCGGTGGGTGAGCGGGGCCGGCTCAGAGGCAGCTCGGGCACGATGGCTGGGGCTGGAGCTGCGACACAAAGCAGGGACCAGCCTCGTGCCCGGCTGCGTGACCCACCCTTCCCGGGGGAGACGGTTTCCAAGGCAGGTTTCATCAGAGGCTGAGCATCCCGTTAATTTAAGTGATGATACAAAGCAGAGAAATGCTCTCCTCTCGGGGCAAGAGGGAGGCGGGCAACCACAGAGGCCGGAGCACCCTTTGTTTCTCCTGTGGAGACGTGGCAGTGAGGTTCTGCTCAGTGGAAAGCGTCTCCAGAACTCGGTGCTGAAGGCCCTTGCTCCGTCTTCCTCTGTTCGGGGGCTCTCAGCTCTGCTCCCTGGACATTTGAGCCGTGTTTTGTGCCAGGCACTGCTCTTCCCATGGGTGCCTCCCTGCTGCCTTACCGAGGCTACCGCAGTTTTTCTTTCAAGTGGGAACCAAACACCTTTCTTCCTTGTTCCTGCTTGCGTTAACACCTGTGTTATCATTTAAATCCCTTGCCTTCTCCCTTTCTCTGCCTGCTGCAGCCTCTTTTCTTCAGGTCGCTCTTTGTTTCTGGTCTCCTTCTCCCCCTGTCCTGCGCTCATTGCCCTACCCTTCAGGGAGGGCAAATGCAGGACGTTGGCACGAGGTGAAAGTCCCAGGCCATAACACGCGCATCACGTCTGTGTGCTCGCCAAGTCCCTGTAGCATGGAAGCTGCGGAGAAAACTTCACTAGCATGGCCTTTCCCCCCGAGCCCGCGTGTCGCAGTGTACAAGCCCGGCGTGCTCGTGCCAAGGGCAGCGGAGCTGCTGCCTGGGTCCTGACATGAGCAGCGCAGCCTGCACGGCTCGTGGCAGCCGGAGCCTCTGACCTGGAACATCTGTGGCTGCGGATGTGAGGCCCCAGACAGGCAGGTTTGTCAGGACCCGAATATTTCGGCTGGTGCTTGACGCATTGCCAGCACATGTCCTCAGTCTGCTCGGTTTTGTTGCCTGTTGCTTTGCCGTTCTTCCTTTCATTTACTACTGCCTCGCCTACAGTTTTTAGCGGAGACTCCGACTCCTGAAACGCGGCCGATCTTCCAAGCATCGCGAGCTGCCTCGCTGCAGCAGCCTGCCCGTGGCTCAGAGCTGGCTGGGAGCAAGGTGCTGTGCGAGAGCTCGCAGTGAGCAGCGGCACCTCGGTGGCAGTAACGCCTTGCTGCTGAAGGTTGCTGCCGATGCTAACCCAGGCTCTTCCTGGCACCCTCCCAGGAGGGATTTGCTCATGGATAAGAATGAACAGAGACACAGTAGCCTTTGGAGGCATGCTGCAGGGCCATGGTTCATCCCGAGCCATGGTTTGGGGTGCTTGAGCTGTCTGTGAGCCCAGCCCGATGCAGAGCTGGGATCCTGTCCGAGCAGGATTTGCTTTTTGCCTGTGGCACAATGGGAAGCTGGAGGAGCTCGCAGGAAGAGCCGTCCCCTGGCGCCACTCCAGACTCTGCTTCCAGAGCCCCGGGTGAGGATGCACGTGGGCTTTCCCTCCCTGAGCCTCAGTGTGTGCGAAGAGTGAACGCTCCTTTCTGTGCAGAGCCAAAACGGGATGTGTGTCAGGAAAGGCCGGTCGGCTGGCAGTGTTTATGAGCGCTTCTCGAGGCTGTGTTTTGGGGAATCAGCAGGAAGCCGCGGGGGCTCGGGGTGTCTCAGCCCTCTCGCACGCACGTGTCCTTCACGTGGTGGCCCTCGGGAGCGCGTGCTCCACTCACATTCCTGACGAGAGGCGCGGTGGGACGGGCGAGCTCTTGTTTTCGATGCAGATGGTCCTTTTTGTTTGTGCTGTGCCTGGGAAGAGCTTCCCCCTCCTTGGGGGGCTGCAGGGAAGATCCATGCTCTCAGAGGGAGGACAGAGAGACTCTGGAGCTGTTCTCTGAATTGCAGCTTTTCTTCCAACTCGCTCCCAAGCCTGCCTTCTCGCAGATCCATCCTTCAGTTTATTTTTCCCCTTGTTTTTCCCTTTCTGCTACCAGCATCTGATTTCTGGCCTGCCCTTCCTCAAGAAGAGGTTTTTGGCAAGCTGGGAGGCTCCTACCATGCAACCAAATGTCCATCGAGAGGCATTCCAGCCCCCGCTAGATCCAATTGAAGCTGACTCTAAACAGAGCTCCCCGAATGCAAGAGGCCTGCACGCTGACCTGGGATGAACCACGGCACTGCAGCCAGCCCCGTTCGTTCTTTCAGCTTTGGCAGGGAGCAGAAACAAGCTGTTTTCTGTCCCATTTCCAAATGGCTCTACTCATTCTCCACGGGGAGGGCTGGATGCCATCCAGCTCGTTCCTTGGAGCGGAGCTTGCGAGATTTTGCCCTTTGTCCGCCCTGCTGGCAGGAGGAGGAGGCGGTGGTGGGACAGAGAGGGGAGGACGAGGAGGTGTCTGGAAGGGGCAGGGGCAGAGCGCTGCCCGGATGAAGAGGGGTGGATGGAGCCCCCGAGCCTGCTCCATTAGCCATGAAGGGTGTGAGGAAGGTCTCAATTTGAGCTGCTCTAATAAAAGTTCCTGAATTTAAACCCTCCTGCATCCTGCTAATTTCCAGGGCTTCCGAAGGGTGCTGGAGGCTTCACCCCGCTGGGGCTGTAATGCTGCTTAACAGCTTAACCAGAGCTTTTTAAGGCTGCGCTGTGTTTGCGTGCCAGGAGCCTGCAGCCTTCAGGCGAGGGGGCTGGTGGCCCCAGACGGTGCTGGCTGGACACAGCAGGGGCTGCGCTGCTTTGCTGAGAGACTTCTCCATCTGCTCCTTGCAAATCTTACGGGTAAACAGAGAAGAAAACATACGCGGAGGATTCTGCCTTCCCTGTGGTGCTTGTCAAAATGATCAAATGCAGGTCCACAAGGGGCTCGCTCCACAGGCAGCTTCACTGAGGCTGATGGTCCTCGGTCGTCTGTGGAAGGGATGTCCATGTCTGCAGTACGACAGGTCCGCTCGTCCTTGTGCTGCCTCTCTCCTGGCCGACATGGTTCTGAGCAGTCTGTGGCCTCCCCACAAGCAGACAGGCGCGTGGGAGCCTTGCAGATGTTACCCCTCTGTGGAGCTGTTGAAGACCTCAGTTCATTTCAGACAGACCCCGTATCGCTCATTTCAGGGATGGATTCAGCAACGTGACCCAGGGAGTGGCACAGGAACCTCAGGGCCTGGTGTCAGTGCCAGGGGAACAGGAGCTGCTTGTGGCCGTGTCGTCTCCTAGCTGCTCAAGAAAGCTGCCAGCAGTGTTTGCCCCAGCCATGGGCTTGCGCAAGGGGTCCTTGTCCTGCAGCTGTGTCAAGCTACGTGCAGGGAACCTGCGAAACCCTGGTTTCACTGTGGCACCGCAGATGGTTTTCTGCATGGGCTGCTGGTGCTGGAGCAACACCCAGGTGTTTCCTTGGTGGCCATTTGTCTTCTCCATGCTGCTGGTGGCTCTGGGGCTCTTAGACACAGTGTCACGGGTGACCGCAGAGTGTCTGCATGTAGCCTTGGCCCCCTTTTCTGGGGGTTTCCCTATTTATTTATTTTTTTTAATCTAATTAATTTTAATCTAATTAATCTAAGTTTCACAGCCCCTTTTCCTGGCTCGCTTGTTCTTCAGAAGCCCTCGCAGGCAAGTCAGCACAGTTCCCAGAGCACGGTCCTCCAGTAGCTGTGCTGCACTGCTGAACAGCCCCGGGCAATGAGCTGCAGTGAGCAGGACTGCACAGACAACGCCTGTGCAGTCCTGCTCGTCACAAGTCATTGCCCAAATGTGGCTGATCAAAGGGAGAAAAACATCTGGGGGCTGTTAGGAAAAAGCTTTTGCCTTGTAGCGCAGGCAGGTTGGTGAGCTGTGGAGCTGTAGGTGCAGCTTCAAAGGCAAGCTGAGCAAAGGTGAAAGCAGCATATGGTTGTGCAACAGGCTTTGTGTGTGTATTTTTGAAACCCAGCGTGGAGTCCTGATCCTGCCACTTCCTGGCCTGCTGCTGCTTGGATTTCCAGCTGTGAGACACTTCTCGATGCTAAGGCTGGTATTTTGGGGATTTCCAGCTGGGTTTGGCATTTGCAGAGATGCTCGTGGTTCTGGAGGAAGAGCCGTTCTTGCTCCTTGAGCTCTTCCATGTACTGTTTTTTCAGCCACACCAGCAAGGAGGTGAGTGGGTTTGGGCTCTGACTGCCTGCCATGGCTCTGAGCCTGCCTGAAAACCCTGCTGAGGCCAGGCAGGCTGCCAGTGGGGGTCTCACACCGGGTTTGCACCGCAATTAATACCTGCACGTAGATAAACTCGTCAGCCTGCAGCATTGCCTGCAGCTGAGCTCTCCTTGCCGGGCTCCTGGCCCCTTCAGGGTAACGAGGCAGCTTCGTTAGCTCTTCTTCACCGAAGCCTCAATTCTGTCCTCAGGATGCAGGTCAGAAGCAAAGGCGGGAGAGGAGCCACGGGGATTGTCTTGGCATGTCGAGGAGCCTGTGGCAGGGGAGAAATGCTGTTCTGCTGGCTCAGTGGCTTTCCCAGGCTCACCAATGGGGAGCTGGAGGATCAAAGGATCCCATGAGGGTTTTGGCTCAGGGCGCCAGCAAAGCATGCTGGAGCAGGTAGAGGCAGGGTAGAGGCAGGCAGCAGGGGGGTGCTGTGACCGTTTGTCAAGTGCCCGGGGGCTGCGCGTGGTGCAGAGACAGTGGCACCCACAAGCTGGCAGTGCTGGTGCTGGCCAAGGGGCTGTGGGTGCTGCCCCAGGTCAGGACTCCTTGCAGAAGTGGTTCAACATTACACTGGGGCTTGTAAATGCCCCTTCTGGGTGCCTGGAGGGGAAAGGGTGCAGCAGGAGCTGGAGTGCTGGTGGGGATGAGCCCTCGCCTCCATCCCCTGCATGCAGGGGACGTCCCCATCCCCAGAGCTCAGCCTCTGCCCTGCACATCGGCCTCATGCCCAGGCTGTTAGGAAGGGGTGCTACCAGGAGGAACATCCACCAGCCCCAGAGACAAACCCACCGCTCAACCCATGCTGCCGTCAGCAGTCCCTGGGGTGTCAGCTCTGCGCCACCACAGGTCCGATGTCCCTCTCAGCGTGGGGAGGAGCACAGCAGTGGCTTGGCTCCACACCTGCCAGCACACTGGGTGTCCCCGGCCCTGCATCCATCCTCGGGGTGAGGCCCCTGTGGTCAGCTCCTCCTCCTGCTTTCCTCTTTCTCTTCCTGGAGGAATTACGGCTGCTGGTCCTGATGCCCTTGCCCTGGTTAAGGGCCCATGTTTAACGCCCCTTCTCCTCTCTCCCCCACCAGCGCCCTGGGATGCCTCCAGGTGGCCGGATGCCCATGGCGGGGCTGCAGGTGGGCCCACCGGGAACACCCCCATATGGAGCAGCCTCCCCGCTGAGACCTGGCCTGCCGCAGTCGATGATGGACCCGTTCAGGAAGCGTCTGCTGGCCCCCCAGTCACAGCCGCCGATGGCCAGCCAGCGGAGAGGGTAAGAGGTGGCGCGGGAGCACCCGCAGCCAGGCTGGAGTCGGGGGGGTTGACCTGCTGCCTCCTGGTTGCTTTGCTCCACCAAAACCCACAGCATGGCTCAACCCCCTGCAGCAGGAGAGCTGCCAGAGCTTGGTGCTGGGACGCGTAATGGTAGCGGCGGGTGGTCTTGGGGGACAGATCACTTGGTCTGCGGCTTCCCCTCGCTATGAGCACCAGTAGCCAAAAAGCCTCGCTGCATTTGTTGCCTTCAGCACCGGCTCCTCAGAGTCTTTCCCCCTTCTCAAGGGAGGGTGTGCTGTTCCTGGCAGGAGCAGATGCAGCTGGATGCTCATTCCCAGTCCTGGCACGAGGCAGGCTGCTCCCAAGCGGCGTTGATGGGGGCAGCAAACTGCAGGGATGCTCCACAGGGCTGCGGTCTCAGTGTGACTGCTTGGGCTGGTCTCTGTGCCGTGGGGCTCTGCCAGCAGCTCCTTGCTTGTTTATGAGGCTGCTTTGCCTGATCCTGTTTCCACAAGGGTTTCTTGGTCACTGGAGGCTGTTTCTCAGGGCCCCTCTGTCCTAACAGATGTGCAGGTCCTGCTCCCTGCCCTTGCTGCACAGCAGGGCTTTTTGATTCTTTCACAGGGAGTCACGGTCTCTGTGCCAGGGCTGCACATCCATTTAGTGCTCCAGAGCAATTTGGGGACTAAGGACGAGGGGCAGAGGCATCCTCACCTGCTGAACGAGGACAGCAGCAGCCGGATAAGGCCACAGCTGTGTGGGATCAGCCATGCACGGCCGGGGAGCTCAGGGTTGTGCACGGAGCCCAGCCGAGCTTCCTTGTTCCCAGCTGGCTGTGGGGTGGTGGGCCAGGACCTGCCAGCCCTTAGTGGCCAAATCCTGGGACACCTCCAGATGGCAGCATTGATGCCACATTTCCTGCCCTGTTGGTTTAGACGCTGCCAAGGGAAATGAAACTCTCCCCATGCTGGACTCTACACATCTGAGCAAGAAATGGGGCAGAAGACGACAGCATTTTCCTGTGTATTTCTCCTTGTTTCTGGGAGCTGCACAGCAAAATGGGCCCAGGGTCTAGGTTTCTTTCCCTGCTGATGGTATAGAGCTCCCACACCTCCCCCTCTGCAGTTGCCTTGGCTTGCCCACAGGGATCTAATCTCTTATCCACTTGCTCCAAGTGCATGTACTCTAGATACTCTTACAGACTTTCTTCATCCCCTTCCTGCAACTCCAAGTGACAGTCCCCTAGAGCAGCCTTGACAGGCAACTTACTCCCTCAGATTGTGCTGTTTGCTGCATCAGGAGCCTGGAACCTGCCTCAGACCGAACAGTGCTCATGGCATGCAGCTGGCATTGACATGGTGACACCTCCCCAGAGCCTATCCCCATGCATCATGCCTGGAAGTGGCCAAAAGAGCCACCGGGCTCTGGGCAGTGGCCCCCAAGACAAGGCAGGCAGCAAGACCCACGGTGTCCTGCAATTGCTATAGGGTTATTTATTTATTTTTTCTGTCCATGCGTCTTGCAGGGTGAAAAGGAGGAAGATGGCTGACAAGGTCCTGCCACAGAGGGTGAGTGTCACCTCAGTGCAAGGTGATGTTGGAGTGAGGAGGTCCCCATGGGAGGATGATCGTGTTTGCACTGGGCCGTGGTTCTGCTTGCTCACTGCTTCTGCTCAGTCCCAAACTGGCCTGGAAGATTTCTGTCTCATCCTGTGGGGAAGCAGGAGAGTGTAGCAGGGCGTGCACAGGTTGGATAAGCAGGACTTTGGGCAAGCAAGAAGCAGAAGTGGCTTAGGGTGGAGACTCCAGGTCACTCCAGAGCTTCTCTTCTGGGGGTCTCTTGACAGCACAGAGTTCAGTTACCTGCCTGTGACCCAGGGCAGGCCGTCTGGCATGGGGACAAATTCCAAACAGTACAGCTCTGTGATCTGGGGAGAGCTTTGCAAGGCTGTAGTCTTTGTTTGAAGTGAGAAATGGTTTGAAGTGACAAATTGTGCCAGGCCCACCACTTGGTTACTCCTTGGTATGTCCACCTGGTGCTGATGGAGTTGCTGGGGTTGGATGTGGGGGCTGCAGCACCATCCTGACTGACTGCTTCCACTTGACAGATCCGGGAGCTGGTCCCAGAATCCCAGGCCTACATGGACCTCCTTGCCTTTGAGCGCAAGCTGGACCAAACCATCGCTCGGAAGAGGATGGAGATTCAGGAGGCCATTAAGAAACCGCTGACGGTGCGTGATGGAGCAGAGCAGCTAGCAGCTGGGGGGGGGGGGTGGAGGTAGGAGACTGCGAGACGGGTGCTGCTAGCCACCCTTTTGCTCCAAGTGTCCCCCTCTTTGTTTTCCTATTCCACAGCAAAAGCGGAAGCTGAGGATTTACATCTCCAACACTTTCACCCCAGCCAAAGAAGAAGGGGAGGGTGGTGAGCGTGTGGCCTCCTGGGAGCTACGTGTGGAGGGCAAACTGCTGGAGGACGTAAGGATATGGGCAGGGATGAACCAGGAGTGGTAGGAAGGCTGTGCTGGTTTCACAGTGCTCTGTGCTGAGAGCCAAGCTGCAATGCATTTGGCTCCCTGGGTGCTGGAGGAGGTGATTTGGGCTGGGGCCCTCCGTGGTTGGCAGTGTCAGGCCAAGCCTCATGCTCTGTTTTGCAGCCAAGCAAGCAGAAGAGGAAGTTCTCCTCCTTTTTCAAGAGCCTCGTCATCGAGCTGGACAAAGAGCTGTACGGGCCAGACAACCATCTGGTGGAGGTGAGGTGTGCCTGGCTGTGTTGCAGGGCTGCCTCTGTGCCCTAGGCAGGATGGGGAGAACTGGTTGATGCAATGGGAGAGGGGAGATGGTCCTGCCACTTCCCTTGCAGGTGCTCAGCTCCCCAGCCCAGCATCAGCAAGGTTCACTGGATTCTTTGGGGTGGAGAGGCAGCTCTTGTGGTGCTGTGTATGCAGGGGAGCAGTGCCGAGCCCTCCCCAGGGACCACGCTGCTGCGCATTCCAGGCTGCAGCTTTCAGTTCTGCGGGGCTGGCTGGCAGCCCGGCATGGCCAGCCCTCCCCCTCTCACCTGGACAGCTCCCAGCAGCAGGCTGCAGCTCCTGGCTGCCCCAGGGTTGGCTCTTAACCCCCTCACACCTGGAAGTCCACAGCTGGAGCCGAGAGGTGTCAGGCTGCAGCAAGGATGTGGCTCTGATGTATGACTTGCAGGCAGTCCCAGGCCCCCAAGACATTTGTGAATCTGGGGCCAGACACAGGTGATGATACCCCGTAGGTGGGATCAGGTCTTCTGTGGGTGCTTCTGCCTGATGCAGGCTTGCCCTGCACGCAGCTCATGCTGTTCCTGTGGGAAGCACCCATTTTTGCGGTGGTGCCCCCTTGGTGAAGGTGAATCCCCATCACATGCGGGATGGCTTGTGAGAGCAGCTGAGACATCCAGCCCCTGCGGTGGGTGAAGCAGCACCCCAGGAGCTGTTTGAGCCTTTGGTATCACGTGCTTGGGCTGTTAAGCAAGCAGTCCACCCGAACTGCCTACAGCCATCTCTGGGCTGAAGCATGCCGGTGTCCACAGGACCAAGTTGGCTCCCTGGGTGGATGGGTTGGACTCCCAGGGACTGCCTGGGGGGGCACGGAGGGTCCAGGCTGTGTGCCTGCCTGCACAGAGCCCAGGCACTGGCTCCGTCATCTCCTGGGTCCTGTTAGTGCTTGGCTTGCTTGAAGAGTCACCCCTTGCTCTCTCGCAGTGGCACCGACTGCCCACGACCCAGGAGACTGATGGCTTCCAAGTGAAGCGTCCTGGTGATGTCAATGTGAAGTGCACCCTGCTGCTCATGCTGGATCACCAGGTAGGTGCTGGGGGTTGTGTGGGAGCTGCCCCCCCCCCGCCAGCATGGCTCATCTGGAGCAGTTAGAGGAGCCTGGGCTGGGGCAAGAGCCTCATGAGGCTATTGCAATGCTCTGGGGTTATTTGGTGTGGGGCACAGTGGAGATAAAAAGGAGCAGAGAGAGGTCCAGGCATGGCCCTCACAGCCTGCAATGACACAAGGGCTGTGTGGGGCACTGTGCCTGAAGGAGGACCCTTCCACGTGCCACCCCCTCCTCTCTCTAATCCCATGTGTGCTGTCCCTGCAGCCACCACAGTACAAACTGGACCCTCGCCTGGCTCGCCTGCTGGGGGTGCACACCCAGACCCGTGCCAGCATCATGCAGGCGCTCTGGCTCTACATCAAGCACAACAAGCTGCAGGACAGTCACGAGAAGGAATACATCAACTGCAACCGCTACTTCCGTCAGGTCAGTCCATACCCCTCCTTGGCATGCCTCGTGGGTGCCCCTGCCCTGCTGTAGCAGCACGACTCACCTGGGGCCTTGCTGGGAGGAGAGCACCCTTCCCACCTGTAAAGGTCGGAAAAAGCATGCTCTGGTGTGCATCTGTCAGCTTGCCATGCACCAGCTGGGGCTGGGGGAGTCCCTGCTCCTGCCTGGCCCTTTTCATGCTGGGTAGAAGAAGCCCCTGACATCGGGAGCTAAACACTCTACTCTGCCCCTCCAGATCTTTAACTGTGTCCGCATGCGCTTCTCTGAGATCCCCATGAAGCTGGCAGGGCTCCTGCAGCACCCGGATCCCATCATCATCAACCACACCATCAGGTAGGGGTGTGGGGAGGTGCCGAGCACTACTCCTGGGGGTGGGCTGCCAGGAGGAAGGGGGGTACCGCCCCAATGGGGCACAGCATCCCTTGGTGCCACGCAGCCTCGAGCTCCAGGCAGCAGTGAGCACTTGGGAAGGATCAGACAAACACTGGGGGCTCCTTGGGACAGTCAGCGGGGTACTTGTGTTCCTCCTGGAGGGGTGGATCCCCCCCCCGTGGCAGGGTGGAGGCTGAGGAAGCCTCCCCCCGCCCCAACACACTGCCTCCTCCCAGCGTGGACCCCAACGACCAGAAGAAGACGGCCTGCTATGACATCGACGTGGAGGTGGATGACCCCCTGAAAGCTCAGATGAGCAACTTCCTGGCTTCCACCACCAACCAGCAGGAGATCGCCTCCCTGGATGCCAAGGTGCGGGATCCCCCCTCTCCTGGAGCCCCCAGAGCTGCAGGCAGGGAGCAGCTCGGGTCTCCTGGGGCTGCCCCCTGAGCTGTGTCATGTTTAGGGGGACTTTGCATGACCCCAGCTCCCACCCGGTCACCCACAGCTGTCTCTCATCTCCTGCCCTTTCTAGATCCACGAGACCATCGAATCCATCAACCAGCTGAAGACACAGCGTGATTTCATGCTGAGCTTCAGCAACAACCCGCAGGACTTCATCCAGGAATGGATCAAATCCCAGAGGAGGGACCTCAAAGTAAGATTTCAGGGATGGGCCAGCTGAGAGTCCAGGAGGGAGCCACCTGCGGTGCTCACCCTCTCTCCCCTGTGCTTTGCTTTGCGCAGATCATAACGGATGTGATTGGGAACCCCGAAGAGGAGCGGCGAGCTGAGTTTTACCAGCAACCCTGGGCTCAGGAGGCTGTGGGCAGACACATCTTCGCCAAGGTGGGCTCTGCGCCGGGTTGGGGTGCTCCCATGGGCTGAAATGAGGGGGCAGAAGGGGAGGGGGGGGCTGTCCCAAGCCTCTTTCCCTAACTGCCCACCCTCGCCTCCTCTAGGTCCAGCAGCGTCGGCAGGAACTGGAACAAGTGCTTGGGATCCGCCTCACTTAAGGGGCCAGTGGGGGCTCGGGAGCTCTTTCTCCTCTCCCTGCTGCCTGAGCCTGACGGTACTTCTTACTGGAATCGAATACAGCACTTGCACAAACCCTACGTGCCTGGAGGGGCTCGGAGCCCCTCGTGCCCCTGGGCTCCCCTCGGCCAGGAAGCTCTAGCCGCAGGCAGAGCAGCAGAGGGTCCCCTGCTTCCCCCGAGTCCTGCTGCAGCCTCTCTGGTGCATTAACATGTCCTTGCTTTTGCCGTTCACCTCTCCCTGTAGCATTGAATGCAGCCCTCTGTGAGCGCCTTGTCCAGCTCGCTCCCCTCCTTGCCCTGCCTCTGGCCAAAGCCCTCCTGGAGTTTGCTGCCTGCCCCGCCAGCCCTCCCCAGCACCATGAGGGCAGGCCTGGTCCTGCCCCTCTTCAACCAAAGTTTGTCATTCCAAACGCCAGCCCTGCTGGTGCCCGACGTTTTGCACTATTTTTGTGAACAGGTTTTATAAAAAAAAAAAAAAAGCGTTTTGTACAGTGCGTTTGTATTTGATTAATATATTGAGTTCCTCTTACTGCACTCATTGCCTCAAACTATGCAGTGATTCCTTGTTCTCAAAGGGCTGGCTTGGCCCAAGCTGTTCTTTTTATACGTGAGTTTTTAGTGTTGTTTCTGACAATCAGTTGATTGTTCACCCCCTGCTGTTTGACTTAGAGACTTGTCCTGTGCCTGATACAGGTATGGGGGGAGGGGGGCAGAGGGGGTAGCTCTGTCCCCAGGAGCCTGTGGGCAGCGGGGACCCGGGGCTCTGAGAACTGGAGATGCTGGGGTGAGGGGCTAAGGGGACAGTGCCACTGCCCACTGGCCCTGCTGAAGTGCCTTTACCCCGCTGGCCCCGTGCCTGCACGCTCCTCACGGCACATCCCTGCCTTCTCCAGGCAGTCGCAGGCAGAGGGGGGGGCGTTTACATATTCCCAGGGTGTATGGCTCAGGGGTGCCTGCTCTGTCTTTTGTGTAACCATTTTGTCTATTTTGGGTATTTTCTAATAAAACCAGTTAGCAGCAGTCTGTGTGTGTGCTGGGGTTCTTTCACGAGGAGCAGAGTCCTGCGGCCCATTTCCCCAAGTCAGTGCACAGATGTGGCCACAGCAGCATTTTATTAAAGATAACTGCAGCCCAAAGCTCACCCTTACTTCCAGAGCTTCTTGATGGACATGTTCTTCTCACTGTCCTTCTGCATCACCTGGGCAAGAAGGAGACGCTTGGTTCCCAGGACACAGCCCCCTTTTCCCTGTAAGGCTACCTAATAACCCCCCAAACCGCCCTTCAAACCAGGCTCCAGCCCTGCACAGGGAAGGGGCTCCCGTACCCTTCCACCCCCCCCGCAGCCTCTCCTTTGCCCCTCAGTGCTGGCGCTGAGCCCCAGGGCTGCGCTGATGCTGCTGGGGCCGGTCTGTGCCTGCACCGCCTACCTTGGCAACAGCCATCTCAAAATCCTCCTGCGTGACGTGCACCCGCCTCTCCCTCAGCGCGTACATGCCAGCTTCTGTGCACACCCCCTGTAAGGGACAGAAACGCTCCAGCAACCCCGCTGGGTAAGGAGGGAGAAGGGGCAGGGCTGCCCCGAGCCCCCAGCCAGCCTGGGGCTGCGGCAGGGCCGGGCTCACCTTCACTTCTGCGCCCGATGCCCCCGGCATCAGCTCAGCGATCTTCCGCAGGTTGATGCCCCGCGTCAGGTTCATTTTCCGAGAGTGGATCTTGAGAATGTCCAGACGGGCCTGCAGGACAGCAGCAGCGAGGCAGGGGCTTAAGGCACAGGAGTTATGCTCAGCCAGGGCTGAGGACAACGCACTCTGCCCCAAGGAGAGGATCTGGGCTGCAGGGGACTGACAAAAGCCCCGGGCCCCCCACCCACCTCCTCGTTGGGAGGGGGGAACTCGATCTTCCTGTCGATGCGGCCGGGGCGCAGCAGAGCCGAGTCCAGGATGTCGATCCGGTTTGTGGCCATGATCACCTGCAGCAGGAGTGCAGCCCCTGTCACCACAACCCGGCACCCTGCTGCCGCCGCGGGGCCAGCAGGACGCTGCCCCAGTCCCCGGGCAGCTCAGCACCCTCTTACCTTGATGTTCTTGGTGGCCTCAAAGCCATCGAGCTGGTTGAGAAGCTCCAGCATCGTGCGCTGCACCTCGCTGTCCCCACCAGAGCCACCCTCCAGGCGAGAGGAGCCGATGGAGTCGATCTCGTCCATGAAGATGATGGAGGGAGCGTGCTCCCGGGCCATCACAAACAGCTCCCGGACCATGCGGGCGCCTGCAGGGGGACCACAGGGAGCTGAGCCCTGGCATCGTGCCCCCATAGGTCACCCTGCCAGAGGGGCTCGCCCCGCCGCGGGCCACCCCGAGGCGCAGGAGCCCTCAGCGGGGCTCCAGCTCGCATTGGCACCGGGGGCGGCCTTGCCCTGCACCATTTTACCTTCACCGATGAACTTCTGCACCAGCTCGGAGCCTGAGACACGGATGAAGGTGCAGTCAGTGTGGTGGGCCACAGCCCTGGCCAGCAAGGTCTTGCCCGTGCCAGGGGGGCCGTAGAGCAGCACACCCTGAAAGTGCCACGTGGGGACCTCAGCGACGCTGCCAGGGGGCTCAGCACCCCCAGCAGCACTCCCGGGGAAGCGTGGGCCCTGCCGGCAGCTTCTGCTCCCACAGAGCCCCAGGCCCAGGCAGCCCCCGAGTGCCGCCAGGACACGTGGGGACCCCTGCAGGGGCGACACAGCCGGTGCCACCCCCCCGGCCCACAGTGGTCGGGACTCACCTTGGGTTGGGCAATCCCCAGAGCCTCGAAGAGTTCTGGGTGCTTGACCGGCAGCTCGATCACTTCTTTGATCTCCTTTATCTGCTTGTCCAAGCCGCCGATCATCTCGTAAGTGGAGTCTGGGACCTTCTCCACCATCATCAAGGACACCAGAGGGTCCACTTTGTTGGGCAGGATCTTGTGCAGCGTGTAGCTGTCGTTGCGCAGGGCCACGCGGCAGTTCGGGGTCACCTGCGGCAAGAGCAGAGGGGAGCTCAATGCGTGGGTATCGCACAGCCCTTCCACGTGACCCCACAGCAGGGAAGGGGACAGGCAGCGCAGAGCCCCATTGCGTCCCCTCCTGTAGCCCCCGACACTCACGTCGTTAATGTCGATGTTCTTGTCCACGTCCACCACGAATTTCCCTTCTGGGTGCACCTGGAACAGCAATTGCCACCACGAGGGTCACTTCCCTTAAAAGTTCCCAGCCACACACCCCAAACCCACCCACCACAGCGGGGAGGTGCCAGAGAACCCAGCCCCACCAAACACCCTGCACCCCAGGTGGCTCCTGCCTGCATGTGCATGGTTTGGGCCCTGGAGAGCTGCTGCAATACGCTCCTCTGGAGAAAAGAGCTCTCACTCCTTGTTTTTTAAGCTCTTGCACCCCCTCCAAAGCTTGTGCACTCATGGGGACAAACGAAGGGTCTGTCCTGCCCCTTCCCATCCAGGTCCCGGGCAGGAGCCAGCCCTGCTCGCCCCTGTGGCACCTCAGCCCCATACCTTGACGAGCACTTTCTTCTTGTCCATGGCTCTCACCACCTCCCCCACGTAGGAGCCCTGCTCCTGCAGCAGTTGCAGCTCTTCCCGCAACAGACGCACTACAGAGAGAAGGGGGATGTCAGCACAGATTTTGGGGGCAGCCCCCTGCAGGGCTGGTCACGGAGCACCACACAAAGATGAAGGGAGCGGAACCAAACCTTTAGCGTTCAACTCGTTCCTCTGCGCTTGCAGGCGCCGCAGGTTCTGGCTCTTCTCATTCACAATGAGCTGTAGGGAAACAACCAACCCTCACCCAACCACGCACACCAGCCACAAGCAGGCTGCAGCACCCTGGGACGGGCGGGAGGACAGCACAGCCCTGCCCGGCCGGACGTGGCTGCCAGAACCTCGTCACCGAGAGCTGGGCAGCACCACCGCCACCTCTGCGGGCTGAGGCTCCTCTCGCTGCCCTAAAGCCCGCTCCAGGTGCCGTGCTCGGAGCCGCCCCTCCCGCAGCAGCGCTCCCCCCCCTGCCCCCCCCCGGGGCCGGCTCACCTGCAGCTCCTCGATCTTGGACAGGTAGTACTGCCGCAGCCCCGCGCCGCCCTTCCCGTCCTCCATCTCCATCTGCGGGACGGACACAGCGCGGCTCAGCCCCACCGCCCCCCGCGGCCCCCCTGCTCCCCGCCGAGTCACGGCGCCCGGCGGGCCCCGACCCGAGCGGGCCCCGGCGCCGCCCCGCACGCCGCCCGCGGGGACCCGGCCGCCCCCCGCCACCCCCCGGCGCCGCCCCCCGGTGCCGCCCCGACCTGCTCGGGGCCGTCCAGCGCCATCTTCTCCGCCGGCATCGGGCCCCGCCGCCGCTCCTGCCGGCACCAAAGATGGCCGCCGAGCCGCTTCCGTCGGCTGCCCCCGCCGCGCGCACGACGTGCTGACGTCACTTCCTCCCCGCCCGCCTCGCCGGCCCCCTCCCGGCCGTGCGAGGAGGAGTGGCGGGGGGGGGGGGGGGGGGAGGGGAATGCGCACGCGCATTCCGGGGAGAGCGGCGCCGTGCTGCGCATGCGTATTCTGCGCCCCATCGGCACGCCGCGGAGCGATCTGCATGCGCATGCGCAGTGCGGAGGAGGCGGGGGGGGAGTGCGCGTGCGCGGTAGGTTCTCGGCGGGGTCGGTGTTTGTCCGCCATCTTGGTAAGGTCGACGGCGGCTTCTCCGCGCTACGAGCCCCCGGAGGCTGACGGACGGGCCCGGAACGACCCCTCCCGAGAGGAACCCGCCTCCCCCGAGCCTCTGCCGGTTACCCCGCCGGGTGGCGACGGCCACAAGGCAGCGCGGCGGCGCCACTCCTAAGATGGCGGCGGGGGCGAGAGGAAGCGGAAGTCGGGGGAGGGGCGCGGGGAACGCCGGGACGGCGGCGGCGGCACGCGGCGGGGCCGGAGCCGGGAGCGGGGCCGCGATCGCGTCGGGGTGCGGGGCCGGGGGGGCGCTGAGGGGCCGGGGGGGGGGCTCTGGGCCGGGGGGCACCGTGCGGGGCGCTCCGGGCCCTGAGGGGCGCTCCGGGCCGCGCCGCCCCCCGCTGACGGCGCCCCCTCCCCGCAGGTCCGTGCCGGGGGCCGCAGGGCCCGAGCTCCCCGCGCCGCCATGGGCAAGAAGACCAAAGCGGGCAGGAGCCGGCGGGACAAGTTCTACCACCTGGCCAAGGAGACGGGTGAGGGGCCGCGGGCCGCGGGCTCCCGGCGGCGCCCCGCAGCGCCCCGCAGCCCCTGAGCCCGGCTCTGTGCCCCGCAGGTTTCCGCTCCCGCTCCTCCTTCAAGCTGCTGCAGCTCAACCGCCGCTTCCAGTTCCTGCAGAAGGCCCGGGCGCTGCTGGACCTGTGCGCGGCCCCCGGCGGGTGGTGAGTGGCGTCGGGGCCGGCGCCGGCCCGGGACCCCCTCGTGGAGCAGCTCCCGCGCGGCTGCCCTGCAGTGGCTCGTCCCGGTTGGCAACCCCGAGGTCGAGGCTGATCCCGAGCCTCTGACGGCGCCGTGCAAGGCCGAGGGTTCTCTTGGCATCGTGCCGTACCTTTGGTCCTCTCTGTTCTCGCAGGCTGCAGGTGGCTTCCAAATTCATGCCGGTTTCCAGCTTGATCATTGGTGAGAGGGGTGGTTTGGGAAGTCATCGGGGATGGGCTGGAGCACGGTGTCGAGGTGCAACGTTGACACCTCTGTCTCATGCTAGGAGTGGATTTGGTTCCGATCAAACCTATTCCCAATGTGGTGACGCTGCAGGAGGACATCACAACCGAGAAATGTCGCCAGGTGAGAACCCACATCCCCTGCCCCGAGTGTCACTGCTCTGGGTCTCAGCAGGTCTGCTGGGTGGAGGGGCACCACCTGCCTGTCTGGGGCTCGCCAAAGAGTACAACGAGGGCAAGGGATTGAGCGGAGCACTGGGATAGGGAGGCTTGAGTGTAGATCAGAGCTGCTGCCTGCCAGCTTTTGCAGAAGAAGAGGGGTTAGGGGAGGCTAACACAAGTCTCTGTTCCTCAGGCTCTGCGCAAGGAGCTGCAGACGTGGAAGGTGGATGTGGTGCTGAACGACGGATCGCCCAATGTGGGAGCCAGCTGGGTGCATGATGCCTACTCCCAAGGTGGGGCCCTCCTGGTGCAGCTGAGGGGAGGCTGGCACGCTGTGGTGGCAGCGGGGTGCACTGGGGGACGCGGAGTCGCCTGATGTGCACACCGGCAGCTCTGCTGAGTGTTCTTCTCCACCTCCGCAGCCAACCTGACCCTCATGGCTCTGAAACTGGCCTGCGAGTTCCTCTGCAAAGGTGGCTGGTTCATCACCAAGGTTTTTCGCTCCCGGGACTACCAGCCACTCCTCTGGATCTTCCAGCAGTTCTTCCGCAAGGTCCAGGCCACCAAGCCCCAAGCTTCCCGCAATGAATCCGCTGAGATCTTCGTGGTGTGCCAGGGTGAGAAGCTGCAGGGACCTGCAGTCGCTGACAACCTGAGGCACTGGGTTGGGGCTGGGGAAAAACTGTTGGTATCTTTGATTTCTCCCACCCTAGGTTATCAGGCTCCAGACAAAATTGACAGCAAGTTCTTTGACCCAAAATACGCCTTCAAGGAGGTCGAGGTTCAGGCCAAGTCTGTTAGTGAGCTGGTCAGCAAGAAGAAGCCAAAGGTATGAGAAGGGAGAGCTGCTGGGGTGGGCTAGGTGTCACTTGTCGGAGAGCTGGCCCAGGGGAAAAGGCACAGCCTGAGCTGGGGAGGCTTTTTCCTTGTTTTCCTCCTGACAAGTGACCCACTCCTTGTGGGACAGATGGACGGGGAAATTCATGGGGCAGCAGGTAAGTGTGGAAATCAGAGACAGATGTCTACGGAGAGCTCAGCACGCAAAAAGCTGCAGGAGTGAAGGAGGAGGGTGCTGAGCAGCCAGACAGTTTGCCTTGCTGGGCAGCATGGCCAAACACGGCTGAAACAAGCTGGGGTTTGGGGCCAAAAAAGATTGTAGTAAGTAAAGATGCTTAGGGAAGTGAAAAATGGGGGGGTGCAAGGCACTGGAATAACTGCTGTTAGTGAAGTATAAAGCCTGAGAAGGTGGCACAGCACAGTGGTGGAGAAGCAGTGAACAAATTGTGAGATTGATGATGGTTCAGTACAACTCCCCCTGCGGTAGTTAGGCACTGGGTGTGTGTGTCTGTGAGGTGACTTCAGGTTACAGGTTAAAGCCTGTGTCAGGTAGCCTTGGGTAGGCATGGAGCTTCTCAAACCTGTCACTGTCACCTTCTTGTCTGGGGTGGGGCTGTGAGAGGCGTTCTAGAGCTGGCCCCGTTACTTGGGAGGCAGGTGGGGGCTGCCTCCGTGCCCAAATCCTGTGGGCATCTTCAGGGGGACGCTGCAGTAAGGCACGAACTACTACTGAACCATTACTGCTCTGGGGATGGCGAAGTGGTTTCGTTCCGTGCTGTAGCTCACACGGCGCTGTCCTCTTGCAGGCAGAAGGCTATGCGGATGGTGACACGACGCTTTACCACCGCTTCACCCTGATGGACTTCCTCAAGGCTCCCAACCCTGTGGACTTCCTCTCCAAGGCCAATGAGGTGAGCGCCCGCAAGGGGGACTTTGGCAGCACCAGGGACAGGTCCCCACAAGCACAGAGTGGAGAAGGAGGGCAGCCAGGTGCCCCAGCAGCGGCCCTGGCCCTGTTCCTGCAGGAGGGAAGCGGAACAAAAGCTGGGACTTGGGACTGACAGCCCTATCCCTCTGCTCCATCCAGATCACACTGGGGGACGGAGAGCTGGAGAACCACAGTTCCACCACAGAGGAGCTGCGTCAGTGCTGCAAGGACATCCGCGTGCTGGGGCGCAAGGAGCTCAGGTACTGGGGGGGACCGGGACAGGGACGGGGCATCGTGCTGGGCCTGGGTGGATGTTTCTAACAGGCTGCCTCCCCGCACAGAGCCCTGCTGAACTGGAGAACGAAATTGCGGCGTTTCTTGACTAAAAAGCTGAAAGAGCAGGCAAAGGAGCTGGACATCAAGTAGGAGTAACAGCACTGCCCCAAGGCACCAACATGGTGGGACGGGGCTGCCACCAGCAGAGGTTTGTTGACCTCCTTCCTTTTGGCAGCCTGAGCTCTGGTGAAGAGGAGGAAGGCCGGGAGGAGAAGGAGAAGAAAACATCACCAAAAGCCACAGCTGATGAGGAGGGGAAAGAAGAAGAAGAGGAGGAGGAGGTAGAGCTGGCATTAGCAGAGATGAAGGCCAAGGAGCTGGCAGAGTTGAAAAGGTAAAGACAGCTCAGAAAAGGAGAGGTGGGGTATCATTGTGCTAGCATAGCATGAGGGGTCAGGGTCTGTTTCCCTGCAAATGGGGGTGGGGTCTGGGGTTCTCAGGATTGTCCACTTTTCAGGCTGGTGAAGCAGCTGTTCCAAGCTTCAATGGGCTCTCTCTGCCCAATAAGGGGACTCCTCACAGTGCGTTGATTGTTGCAGGATCCCAAATCTTGTGAGAGATCAGGCGTCAATGTGGCAGTAGACGAGCCACTGGGAGGTGTGTGCATGGGAAGGGGGAGCAGCGTAGCCTCAATCCTTTGTCTTCTCCAGAAAAAAGAAGAAGATCTTGAAGGAACAGCGGAAGCAGCGTGAACGTGTGGAGCTGAAGATGGATCTTCCTGGTGTCTCCATCGCTGATGATGGTGACACCAGCATGTTCTCCCTCCAGACTATCCACAGGACCCAGGTGTGTGGGCTGGAAGCGAGCAGGCTCCCAGAGCCACCAAGGCTGGGACGTACGCAGGCACGTGGCTGAGACTCAAGCTCCTGACTCCAGTCTCACCTGCATTGCAGCTGCTGAATGAGGTGGCCCGGGGAGACATGGCATCAGCAGATGCCCTTCTGGAGATGCGACCTGAGGACGATGACATCTGTGTCTCTGATCCGGACGAGGCTGACGATGTGTCCCTGGCCAGTGATCTGGACCCAGAGGAGTTGGTGGAGATAGAGGCTCGGCAGCGCCAGCTGGAGCGGGAGAGACGAGGGCAGGGTGCAAAGAGGTAAGAGCTGGGGGAGGCTGTCCTGAGGCAGGGGCTCCCTTGGGAGCAAATCTGGAGAGTGGCTGTCCTGGCTGGGGACACTGATCCTGCTACTGTCTGTCACAGGGTGAAGCCTGAGCAGGAGGAAGAAGATGCAGAGGAGAATCCTCTCCTCATGCCTCTGGAGGAGAAGTCAGTGCTGGAGGAGCGGCAGACCAGCCTGTGGTTTGGGAAGGTGAGTCCCAGTGGGTCAGAAAAGGCAGGGCTTTTCCCCAGCTCTGCCCCACGTCCCCTGACCCCTGGCTCCATGTCTGCAGGATGCCTTTGCTGGCATCGAGGATGATGCGGATGAGGACCTGGAGCTGGGGCAGTCACAGATGTTGGCTGAGAGACAGCGCAAGTCCCAGACAGGTTAGTGGGGGCTGCGTGGCCGTGGGGAGCACAGAGGGACGTCTCCATGGCCTCACATGGGGCACTGGATCAAATGGCAATTTGGGTGCTGTACTGAGCAGAAGCAGAGACCTGCAGAGGTTGCTTCCAGCCCGTATTGTTACAGTTAATGAGCTAGGACTAGTGTTAATGAGCCGTACCTCTAGGGGAAGGGTCTGCAGTGGGATCTGCCTCAACCTTCTCTCGCCCACTGGTTCCCTCTCCCCAGACAAAGCAAAGAGGAAAGGGCAGAAGAAGAAGGTTCCCCAGGAGGACACCATGGCCGAGCCTCAGGCTGCAGCAGACACAGCAGCTGATGCTGATGAAGCACAGGCTGAGCAGAGCAGCGATGACGATGACAGCAGCAGTGATGAGGAGAGGTGAGGGGCGAGAGAAGGGCAGTCTGGATATTCTCCTGCAGCTCTGGAGAGCGGGGAGGTGAAGACCCTAAGCTCTGATGCTCCCTTCTTCTCCCCACAGGCCACCAACACCCGTGGAGAGGAAGCGGGGCCGGGTTGAGCCGTGTGGCTTTGAGGTGGTGCCCATTGAGGACCCAGGTGAGTGTGGGCTGCTGTCTGCACCTGTGTGTGCCGGGTGATGCCACACAAGTCCTTTGGGGACAGGAGGCAGGGTCAGGTGGTACAGGTCTGGGAGGGCTGCTCGCTGCTGTCTGGGTCTCAGGCTGTTTGCAGGTGGGCCAAGCTTTAACCTGTCTCTGTGCTTCAGTGAAGAAAGCACGTGTCCTGGATGCAGAGGGTCTGGCACTTGGCTCCGTCATTGCCACCTCCAAAAAGGCCAGGCGGGACCTGATCGACGACTCGTTCAACAGGTGATCCGCTGCGGGTGCTCGGTCTCTTAGGGGACAGGCCACGGGGTGGCAGATGTATTGGTGTGAGACTAGGACCTGGCAGGGACCCCGTGTCCCACTCACAACTCGCCTGTTTCCCCCCCAGGTACTCCTTCAATGAGGAGGAGGGAGAACTGCCAGAGTGGTTCACGGAGGAGGAGAAGCAGCACCGGCGCAAGCAGATACCCCTGGACCGGCAGACGGTTGAGGAGTATCGGCAGCGCTGGCGCGAAATCAATGCCCGCCCCATCAAGAAGGTGGCGGAGGCCAAGGCCCGAAAGAAGCGTCGGGTGAGTGGGGCTGTGGTCCTGGACAGATGCTCTGTCCCCATCGCCGATCCCTTTGTCCCTGACCCTTTGCTGTCCCCCAGATGCTGAAGAAGATGGAGCAGATGAAGAAGAAAGCAGAGGCCGTGGTGAGCACGGTGGATATCTCAGAGCGGGAGAAGGTGGCCCAGCTGCGGCGGTGAGTGGTGAAGCTGGGTCCCAGCTCCTTCGTGTTGCACTGGGCTGGGTTACAAGGTCCCATTCCTGCAGCCACAGCACGGGGCAGTTCCTGTGTGTAACTCAGCAGGGCTGGGAGGGGCTGGGCAGGATCTGGCTGGGGCTGAAGGTTGGCAGAGTAAGCAAGGGAAGCCCTGTCTTAGGGCACAGCAGAGTGATTGGGCCTGGTACTTGTCTTTGGATATGTGCCAAAGCCAAATTTCTGGAGCAGGCTCCATCTGAGGATGTCTGTTTCACTTTTCCCTTTCTCCCACAGCATCTACAAGAAGGCCGGGCTGGGCAAGGAGAAGCGGCAGGTCACGTACCTGGTGGCTAAGAAGGGTGTAGGACCCCGGGTGCGTCGCCCCCCTGGTGTCAAGGGACAGTTCAAGGTCGTTGACAGCCGCCTGAAGAAGGATGTAAGGGCTCAGATGCGCAAAGACCAGAAGAAGAAACGCCGCAAGTGATATGGGACGTGGCTCAGGGCGCTGGACAGGGCTGGCTCCTGTCCCCCCAGCACAGCCTCAGGAGCTTCTGCCTTGCCCTGCTGCTCCCCCATCGTGGGGACAGGGCTGGGACAGCCACTCGCTCCCGTAACTCAGTGCCTTCATGTCATTGCCTCTTGTCCCGCAGTGGGGCAGGGAGGGTTGATTTGGGCTCAGGGCTGTAGCATCAACCCCCCTGCCCAGGCTGGCTGTGTGGCTGCAGCTCCAGGGCTGTCACTCTTGCTGGTTCTGCTGGGGTGCTGCTCGGACCCTTGCGCTGTAGAGATGGCAACGAGCACCCTTCCAGTCCTCGCTGTCCCCACAGGGGTTGTGGCCACGTTTGTCACTGAAGTCCCAGGGCTGCATGGGGCTGTGGGTGTTGAGCCCTGAGGCAGGACAGTGCCTGTGGTCTGTACAGAACCGTTCCTCATTTACAACAAAAATAAACCCCAGTCTGAGGTTGTCTCTGGGACTTGTCCTGCGTCTTTGCAAGGTGCTGGGCCTGTGATTTGAGCTGCTGCTTCCTTTCCTGCACTGCTTGACAGACACAGAAACAACCCTAGGTTGTACAGGGTCTGTGTTTCTTTGCTAACACTGGGGTTAGCCTGTTCACCTCAGTACACCTCAATTTGTCTCTGGCCCAAAGCTTGGGCCAAACAGCCAGCCAGCCCCAGAAGTCCCTCCCTGCCCAGCATCATCCACAGTAGCCACCCCCCCTGCAGCCTCTGGTCAGCCCCACTGCCCTCTCCAAGTGAGGGGAACACAGCAAGTTTAGGAGAAGAAATACAAAGAGAAAAGATGCACTTAAGAAAATACATTTATGTAGACCCAGGGCAGGTAACAAGTGCCTAAATCTGTTGTGATGAGATTGCAGAGTTATCCCCAGATCCCTTTTAGTGGCAGCACTGTTTGTGGAGGGAGCTGCACCAGGGTGTTCCCATAAAAACGTCTGTGGCAGGGTGGTGCAGAGCTCCGAGACATCCCTGCCCTGGGTCTGGCAGGGCAGGAGCTGCTCTGTGGGGAGAAGCTGTTGAGTCTCTGCTGTGCTGGTGGTGCTGTGAGGGCCTGGGCCGTGTTCTTCTGCTGTGGAGGGCTTGGGGCCTCGGCCAGGGGGAGCAGAAATCTTTGGCTGTCCTGGTTCTTGGCTGAGGGCATTGGGGTGAGCAAAGAGGGACCAGCTGCCACACCTCAGGCTCCTCTAGAAATTCTCCTTTGCCTGGTTGTCATCCTCTTCAAAATTGAACAAGGGCATGCTGTGAGAGAAGAGCCCCTCTGCCACCCCCGGCCAGTCCATGGTCCTGACCCCATCCCCGTGTGACCCCAGACCCCTGGAGAGGAGCTGCGTAGGGGGTAAAGGAGGGAGGCCAGGGCTGCTGGGGTCCCGAAGGGTGACCCCACTGCCTTGCTGGACTCAGCCCCTACCTGAGCTGCAAGGAGCGCTGTAGGCAGCATCCGTGCGGTCACCTGCAAGGAGAGCGGCGATCGCTGGCACGTGGGCTCAGGGCAAGGTGGCCCTGGGCTGCTCCCATTAATGAGCCAAAGCTCCTCAGTGCTACTGGATGGCTCAGCTGAGCCCCAGCGAGTCTGCTTTGGGGTCGCAAGGGGGGCTCACCCGTCTCGTAGTAGTCATACAGTGTCACGGTGGCTGGCTGCAGGTTCCTCACCGGGAAGTCCTGCGTGGCTGTGAAGATGAAGGTCTCCTCCTCCTTTGTCAGCTGGGGAGACGGCACAGGGGTGAGGTACAGCCACCTCCAGCCACCTCGGCCCCTTCCTTGCAGCTGGAGGTGATGGCCCTGCCCCATCTCACCTGGTCCAGGTAAATTGTCACCTGGTCAGTCTGCACCTCCACCTTCTTCACCAGCTTCTGCCTCTTCAGCTGGGGACAGAGGGAGAGCAGGAGTGTCGCTGTCCCTCTGTCCCCGTGGGGGACAGGGGCCCAGCACCAGGCAGAGTGGAGGGGCAGCAGGGACCTCACCTCGGCCACCGAGCCCTTGTCTGGGATGTAGCCAGACGGCAGCTTGGCCTCGATGACAGCCATGTTTGTGGTGGGGCGCTGCCCGGTGTACCTGCAAGGGCAGAGCCCCGTGCTGAGGCTGGGGGTTGCCCCTGTCGCCCCCCCCCAAAACCCAGGGGGCGTCCCCTGCCCTTACCGTGCCCGGAGGAGGAGGCGGAAGCGGGCGCTGGCCTCTGCCCTACACGTCTTGGGCTCGGTCTCCACGCGGAGCTCGAAAGCCCCCGTATTGGGCGGTGGTGGCACGTTGTAACGCAGGGTCACCTGGGGTGGGGTGGGGAGGTGAGGGACACCCCATGGGTGACACATGGGGACGGGGACCCCGGGCTGTGCCCACCTGCACCAGGGCGCAGCCCTGCCCGCGGGCTTGCACCGTGTACAGCCCCGGCAGCTCGTGCAGGGCTGCCCGCTGCAGCACCAGCCGATTGCTCGTGTCCAGCACGAAGTCCTGCGTGGAGCCCGTCGGGGCTGTCACCGTCACCACGGAGTTGCCGTTGCTGCCATATGTCAGAGTGGCGTACTTGGCCAAAGCTTGCAGGGCCACCACGGTGTCCTGGGCGAGAAGCACCCAGCCATGGTCACCCCCAATTGCAGCCTGCAGCAGCCCCAGCCCCCTGTTGGGATCCCGACGCCCGTACCTGTGTGGAGGCAAAGCCTCCGTAGGGGTTTTGCTGCCTGCTGAGCCAGCGGACGATTTGGGAGGCTCTGGACAGGTCAGCGGAGGACACCTGAGGCTGGGTCAGGTGTGCCAAGAGGACGTAGGCGGTCATCTCCACCTCTGCCGGCGCGGCCGCAGCCCAGAGGGACTCTGTGGGCAGAGCCTTCCCCTTCCTCTGCCAGAAGAGCAGCCCCTCTGGGGGAGAGAAGGGTGGTAGTGCAGGGAGGCCCCCGGCGATGGGCAGGGGGGTCCGCGTGGCGGGGGGTGGTGCAGGAGGTACCAGTGCTGACACCGCGCTGGACAAGGCTCTGCAGCCGGGCTTGGTGCTGCTCCTGGCGCCCCGCCAGCCCGCAGACGTAGGCCAGCAGCGCCTGCGTGTAGAGGTCGTCGGTGCTCGAAGCCTCCAGGCACTGCAGGGCCAAGCTCACCGTGGGTTCCTGGCGTGGGAAGGGGGAAACCGAGCAGTCAGGAGCCAGCCCAGGGGCACGGACATCGCCGCACCCAGGTTGGGACCTCTGCCCAGTGAGACCAGTTACACCCAGCTCCGGCCCAGAGCAGTGTGGCCTGACACATCCAGACCTTGGTGCTGGGCTGGTCCCTTGTCCCAGCGCCTGCTCCCCTCCAGGGGTTGCCCTCACCGTTGGGGACACCCCCAGCTCCAGCAGCGCAGCCGTGACGTAAGCCGACAGCGAGAGCTCATCCGATACACCGCCCTGCAAAAGGGGCAGCAGGAGGTGGCTTTGCCTGTGCCACCAGCACAGGGATGTGCCAGGGACAACCCGCCCCCACGTCCCCCCACACCACCCCGTGCCCACCTGCAGGGCGTTGTTGAAAAGCTTGCCCACGCTGCGGAAGCATCCCGTCTTCAGCTGCTGCCTCTGCAGCCAGTGCAGGGCATCTGTGATGTGCTGTTCCTCGATGGCCACGTAGGCTCTGGCTTGCCCGAAGGACTTGAGGACAAACGCCGTCAACCTGAGAGCCAGAGAGCCGTCAGAGGGGTGGGGACCCAGGGGTTGAGCAGGGAGGGGGTCTGTTTGGTGGCAGGAGGAGATGGCTGGTCCCTGGAGGGATGTCACCGCACTGCCCCGTGCCATGCAGTCCCTTACCAGGTGTTGCCGCTGTCATCGCGCTCCCCAAAAGCGCTGTAAGAGCCGTCAGCATGCTTGTAGAGCAGCTCTCGCTGGTACCCTGCAGGGAGATGGGGACAGCGATTCACACGGCGCTCTGCAGCCCACCCTGGAAGACCCCAGAGGCAGCCTGGGTGCCAGGCCCACCCCAGGGCTCAGGGAAGAAGACGGGACAGAAGTGGGGGGCCCGGGGTTCCCCTGGGCAGCAAGGCAGGGTAGGATGGGGAGGAGGGGCCGAGGACGCTGACCGCTCTGCAGGAAGCTCTGCGCCTTGGCGCGGATGTCGGGGGTCAGCTGCCCGCTCTTCTCCAGGTACTGCTGGATGTAGATGTTGGGGGCGAAGCGGACCATGTTCTGCTCCCCGCAGCCATAGGGCATGGCCAGGAGGCGGTCCACGTTCTGCAGTGCATTGCCCATGATGTCGCCTGCACCAGGGGAGGCGAGGAGAATCGTCACCGGCCGTGTTCCCCAGCAGGCACCCCGTATCCTGTCCCACCTCAGCTCAGTGGGGGTCCCACCTCCAGCTGAGTTTGGGTCATGGAGCTCTGCGCCCTCGGCACATCCCTTACCCATCACAGTGACGTGGGCTCGCTGTGAGCCCTCCAAGATGTTTTCAGGAAGCTTCAGGGAGACTTCTTCAGCGGCTGCAGGGATGGAGGGCCATGGCAGTGGAGATGCCCAGCTCCACCAGTCCCGACCCCACAGTGTCCTCGCCCACCCCTCGGTGCTCCATCCCTCCACAGGCTCAAGGCTGGGTTTGGACACCTCGGGCAGGAGACCCAAAGACTCCAAGGTCCTTGGCTCCTCCATGGCTGCATGACCAGCAGCCAAGCATCCTTGCCCCACATCCCCACATCCTACCTTCCTGGCAGAGCAGGGAGCTGTGCGCCTTCTCCACCAGGATGCCCCCGGGCTGTGGGAAGCAACATCATAGGGTTGGTCAGGAGAAGGGACCAACCCCCTCCCCATGTCCCCAAAGCCATGACAGCATCCCATGCTCCCAGGACCCTGCAGTGGGGTCCTCCTGCTCCCCCCTGGGGCTGCTCAGCCCCCATCCCTCCTTCCTCGTCCATAACCCATCTGACCTGCACCAGCAAGGGCTTTATCACAGTGTCCACGCGTCCCTGGGCTGGCACCACAGGCTCCTCGTTACCACAGAGCTCCTCTGACTTTATGGCCTCAGTGCTGACGGTGATGTTCACCTCCCCTGCAGATGCAAATGGAGGGCCCAGTTCCCACAGAGCCCCCCAGCCCGCACTGCAGCCCCCATGGGCTTGCATCAGGTTTTGTGTGGGGCTGGCTGGGTTGGGATGGGGTCACCAGGGAGGGGAACAGTACTGGAAGGGGAAGGGGAAAGTGGAGCAGAGAAGAGCTTCCCAGACAGCAGCATGTTTGCTTCCACCCTCCCTGCCCACACCATTGTATAAGGGGGAGTCCCCAAGCAGCAGGGCAGGGGGTCCCAGTGTCCCATACCCAGGCTGGTGGCTTTCACGTCCCACCGGAAGGTCCTGGCTTCATCCGCACAGACGCAGCCGCTGTACATCCCACCCACAGTCTCTGACACCTCCAGCTCCGCCGACTCTGCCAGTGTCACCCGAACCTGCAGGACCACGACCCCCTCAGCCCCCACCAGGCCACAGCCCCCAGCCCCTGGCCCCCGGCCCCTGCCCCCCGCT